TGTAATTAGGAACTCTAGTGATTAAAATTGGGGCTGCTTTGATGTTAGGGATCTTGGATCGTGGGCTGCCTTTACTCTTTTACAGCTCACAAAATGTGATCATAAAAAATAACAACTAAAAACAAAATTAAAAAAAAAAATCCAAACCTTGACATCCTTACTTTCCAAACCTCCCACTGAGATTCCTGATCTTATAATTAATTTTCCTTCTCATACATTATTTTGTCCTTTTTTTTTTTTTTTTTTTTTTTTCTTTTTAGCCTGGACTCTGTGGGTTTCTTTCTTATTAGGTCTCCATGACATGCTACCATATCTTTCTGGTTGGTTGGTTGGTTGTTTTTTTTTTTCCCCAAAGCTCGTTACTATAGGAAACACTTTATTCTATTACTAAGGAGATTTTTCCTCAGTAGGCTTTTCTATGATGGCAGTTGACTGAATTCAGGTGCGACACCTGATGTTGATTTGCAAATTTTCATAAAATAAAGACTGCAGCATGCTCTTATGATAGTCATGATGATCACTGTTGTTATGTTTATTTTTAAAGCAGCTCTCAGAATGCAAACTGAAATATGATATGTTTGGATGGCAAACAACCTCAGTGTGACTTGCATTGAGTGGCAGAAATACATGCATTACCATCTAATGGATGATTTATTGAGTTTGCAAACTAAGACCAAACTTAACATTGCATTGTAGATTTTTATCACTTTACAAGGATGCATATTAATAGAACTAATATTTGAGTGGTTTTATGTTTTTATCTTAGAAAATATTGGGCCCATAGAGATACTACAAGCTGCCCACAGAACACTAGTGTGACTCATCCCCCAGCTGACATCTCTGTGGGAATGCATTTCAAGGCATATGATTTGTTTCAGCTTTACAAACTTTTATGTCAATTCCGTTTGTTTGGTTTTTATAACATCTATGACCTTTTAACTATTTGGGCATGTTCATTCAAAAACCTCAAAATGAGTCTTAATTAAAAAGCGTTGATCTAAAAAAAATACTCCCTCACTCTGGCTAGAATTTCTGTCATATCAGTCCACAGACAAAAACAAATGAGATTTAGGAGTAGTGGCATTTTCAGTTTGAGTTACTAGCATGAGCTTGTGTGATCTTGCTGAACACTGCCATTTGCAAAAGAGCAATTAAAACAGACGACAATCTGCTAATCACGTGCAGTTCTATTTAGAAATTTAGCAGTATTTTCCCAGTTTGTGTTTTTGTTTGACTTGCTAAGAGTGAAAGGAAGTTTTATGTATTTATATTGTATATAACAGTATGTAAATTTGGGAAACTTCAGCACAGATCAACAATTTTCAGTAGGCTAGAAATATACATTGTAAACATTTTTAGAGAACACTGTGTGTGCGTTTGTATAGTATATGTTTGTGTGCATATATCTATGTTTGTGTGAATAATATATTCAATATTGTTTTCTAACAATAGAAAGTAATGCAACATGCATATGTCACTGTTAAAAATAAGCCGATTGGGAGGCAGGAAGCAGAGGCATGCTCATGATTTGGGATTTAGGAGTAGCAGCATTTTCACACAGAGTTACAAAGGATGGGCTTGCTTGATTTGCTGATCGCTGGTCACCCACATGATTTGCAGGTTTTCCTTGTGGTTTTAACCTGGATATCATGAAGGCCTATCAGCAGTAATGCTCTGCTGGTATTCAAATAGGAGCACTGGCTACACCTAGAGGCGAAGTGGTTCTGGTGGCTTTGACAACAACATTGAGAAGTTCCAGTCATTTCAGAAGAACCTCTGAACAATGAAAATTGAGAGGGAAATGGTTAGGAAGAAGGGAATAGAAGTCTGAAAAGAAAAAGGGACAGCAATCAGATATAGGTATTGTATTTGATCACCACATCATGATGCAAGGATATTGTTCCTCTGCAGAGCTGTGAGTTACCTCTGTTTTTCCTAGAACGGAAGTCTTTGTATTTTTAGAGTGCAGAGCTATTTGCCTGGTATACATTTTTCATGAGTGGCTACATGAGCTTCGCAGCTACACACAGGAGCATGCTGGAACTATAAAGCCTAAAGAAATTATTTCTCCATCTTCTCGCAAACTCATGATTTGAGAGGGTAGTGGGCAGTTCCACAGGTATTGTGATTTTTTTCCATGTTGGCACTATAGGTTCTAAAGAAAAGGATATTCATTTTACATCTCATTCTTTCATGACTAATCTTAAGAAAATAAAGGAAATATTTTACAATACTTAGCAACTTTTTATCTCTTACTAAGTATTACTTGATCATGGAATTGCTTTATCTGTATCATAACATGGCAGGATTTATTTTAAAGTTGATGTGTCTAATGCTTGCTGCATTTCCACATATATTAGGGGAATTAGTCAAACATGTTAATAGAGAATATATCTGTTTTATAAAAAGCCTAGCAATGGTATTAGATCAGCTGCTGAGTTCCTATATGGCATTATAAGTCCATTATCAGTACAGATGATTTAATTTCACTTTCAATGGTCCATCATTCAAGGAACAGAAAGATATATGCTTATTGTATAAATCCATCATAAAGATTTTAAAGTTATGTAAACAAAACCTGTTACTTTTTAAGGAAGATGCTTTGTAAAGCTGCCTATTTCTATTATGGTTCATTGTCTGTGGATACAGAATACAGGATCAGAAGGTGTCTTCCATTAAAAATGAAAAACCTCCTATTGACTTCATTGCCAGATTGAGTCCTTAAGCAGTGTAAAATAGAGCTGACTTGAAAATGTACTGCTGTTCTCTGCAGATCGTCCATCTTTTGTTGGCTGCTACAACGATTCTGCTTCCTACAGCTGTGTTTTTAATTGAGAATATGTTTTAATAAATATTTTATTTTAAAAGCTATGTGGAGAACTAATACAGTAAAATAAAATACAAGTTACTGACTGTATGTTACCTTAATGTTTAGGTGTGGGAATTATGCATAGTACTCATTAGCAAGTGTGCAGTCAGGATAGCCAAAGTGCTGGTGTATATGCAGAGAAATTCTCCTACAGAGGTATCCAGACAGCTTTAGTGCTGTAAATGTCTATTGTGTTTACTCAATATGTTTGGGAGAATTATATGCAAATATAGCCAGTAGTAACTCTAGCTATCCTGTACTTGATGCATGTTTTCTTTTGAGATGGTTTACCAGGCTTTCAGTTTTACCAAGCTTCATTTCAGAGGTTCCTTCTTTCTCTTCTGAATCCACATAAGCATTTTGTTTGCTCTTCATGCAACAAGTAAGAATAAAAAGTCTGTCAGTTAAGGCGTTACTCAATTTCTTTTTATCTTTCAGTGCACAAAGACCATAAAGAGCAAAGAGAATGTGGAAATGGCTCTAAGTGGTGGGAAAGTTATCATCCACTCTACCAAAAAAACTAGGAATGTGAAAAAGTAGGGAAAAGGGGCAGGAAAATGTAAAGACAGAGGAGAAAGTAGCCAAAGGGGGTACACACCAGAAGCTTGCAAAAGAAAACTAGTGGTGGAAAAGGAAAAACAGAGGGGCACTAGATAAGAATCACTGTGACAGAGTGAGCGATTCTACCGTCTCCTTTTTTTCGCTAGGAGTTCTGATAGAAACTAGACAATAAAAATTGAAAAAGGGTGTGCAGAAAGGATGAATTTTTACAGCTGTATGTGATGTACATGTGTCTGCTTTCAAGTTAAACTCAACAGTTAGAATAAGCTTGTGGAAGTGATGCTGTATGTTTCAATGGTAGCCAAGCATTTAAAAAATTTCAGAATGCATTTATATAGGTCTATATCATGCAATTTTTTTCCTTTATTATCTAGTAAGAATTTTAAAGACTGATTTGTAATAAAAAGGTTAGACTAAGAAAACCAAAACAGAAACAAAAACCTCTGAAATCTTATAAATGTTTGCTGTTTTCACTTGGACCAAAAGAAGGGTTTCGTACAGACTTCAAGAGTTGGGATACAGCTTGCACTTCCAGATGCATTATATTCTAAAATATAAGTGGTGTTTTGTAATTATGCACTGTGGAGGGTTAATAGGCTTCATAATGTGCTTTACTCACAAGGGAGCAACACTTTCTATCGTACAGGTCAGAAAACGAAGAGGTTTTTTCTGTCTGTTTCCTGTTTCAAAAAAAAAAAAAAAATCTTTGATTGCTATAATAGAGGCATATAAGATGTTCATGTCCCCCCTGAAGAAAAAGTTGCTTTATATTTGTAAATTACGTGCAAATACCTTATGACCGAATGTTCTCTTCAAGTTTTTCTAGACCGACAGTTACTGGCTAGGTGAGCTTATTATTTCTCATGTTCCCTCTCTCATCACACATATCTCCCTTAAATATGTGCTGCTCCTCATTTGGGTGGAAAAAATGTTGAGAGAGACATGCTTACATCTTTAACATAGTAATTGTTCAGTTAATCTCATTTATGGGCGAAGGAGGCTATACTTCACTGATACCGATTACATATCCTATATTGGGTTCTATATAAATAGCTACAAATGTGCACAATGGTTACATTACATGGTATATTAACAACATAGCTAAATCAGAAAGTATGAGCTATGCCTTTAGTGATGAGTGTACTAACAATTGCATGCAAGAAGATTTTTGCATGCAACCATGAAGGAAATAATTGCTGTTCAGCACACTTCGGTTAAGTTTGCATATCAGTAAAAACACATGCGCAGAGGCTCCACCTACATTCCTAGTGCCCTAGCACTGATATGAGTGCAGCATATATTAAAGCTTTACAAGGTCTGACAATATTAACAACTTGCAAAGTGCGTGTAATTTTTGAGAGTTAATTTGACCACTGTTAGGTGAAATTGCAATGGTGAAATTCAGGTTTTATTATTTTTGTATTTGAAATGTAAAGTACCATAGGTGGCATTTTAGAGATTTATGGGAGTACAACTTCTGCTGAGGTTTTAAGTCTTGTGGGTTTTTTCCGCTTTTCAATTAATTTGAGATATAAATATATAAAGCAAATGTTTGTTTTTCATATTTTAGATGGAAGACTTTATTTGAAAACTACTGTCATGTATTGAATTTTTCCTGCTGAAGATACCTGTGCTACGGTAAAGAACTTTGCAGTAAGACATTGGCTCATAAAGAGTTCTGTGAAAACAAAGCGTTTTCAAGGCAACTTCCTCAACTCCATTTATCTATGTTCTTCAAAAACGTAAAGAATTCTGCAAGAGTGTCCTCCTTTGATTTTCTCCTGTGGCTCAACACGGAGACCTAGAGAATGTTTGTAAATGTACAGTAGCACTCTTCTTACAGTGAAAATCTGCGTCTCTGCGCCGGACTATTGTATCCAAAATTACAGGTGGGTCAGAACAAGGCTGAGTATTCCCTTTTTCAAGGAATGCAGACTCTGTCCTCCTCTGACGATTTTGTATTTGAGCACATCAAACGATCCTTCCAGCGGTGTCCAAGTACACTTACAGACTGTTATATCATACTGAAACCAGCAAGACAGCTCAGAAATGAACTTATAGAGGGCATAAGAGGATTCTTATTAAAAAAAAAAAAAAGGAAAAAAAAAAGGTAAAAGAAAAAAAATTGATACATTCAGTTTTCAAACTATGATCGTGGTTTTTCTTCTAAAGACTTTTTTCCACATGCTTTCCAAGAGACCAACACACGTATGTTAGACTACATTAAGTGAAATGGAATTTTGTGTAAGTGAAAAGAAATGCTGAATGTAAACAAACTGTTTTACTGTTCACGAAGTCTCTTTTCCTAAAATAAAAAAATACGATAAAAAGAGTAATAATTTCTCATTGTAAACTGGCAGGGGTTTATGAAATAAAAGACTTTGCTTCTTATCAAACTGTTGGTCACATGTACAGTATATAACACAAATCACACAAGGAAGGTATTATGTATGCAGTAGAAATCTAGAGTTTAGGAAATGAAAATTTTAGATAATATTGTTTTGTCACCCTGTTGGTCAGAAAGACACCTTTCTAGTTTTAACGCATGCAGGCATGTAAATATTTGTCCTGGAGTCACAGTATTACTGAATGAGATCTTAAGCATCTGGTAACAAGTCAGAATTCTGTATCAGCCACTTTTATTTGTATATTGAGCCCTGGTTAGTGCCCTGATTAGTGCACTTTTAAGAATGGACTGTGGCTGAGCAGCAAGTCAAAATGCCAGAAATATTTTTATATGTTAATGTCATATTACGTCAATGTTGCTAAAAAAAGAAAACCTAACAAACACTTGATGTATCAGTCCAATTCCACGTAGAACTGAGTGATACAGTTGAAGTCTATTGTCCCTCCCACCTTGTCTTAGGGATGGGTGGTTATGTGTTACTTTCACTGTCTTTATGAAATCTACAATATGTGTTTTCACCTTTGTGCTGATAACTGGAAGTAAGCTGCAACACAGTGCTTATTACATTACTAAAATTTATGTTCTTTGCTTTGCGTACTTTTGGGTTACCCCTTTAAAGACTGATTTTGTGAATCAGTGCTATTACTGTAAGTTTTGTGATTATGCTTTCTTCATCTAATGTTTTATGCATATAAAATATTATTTATTACATGGAAACATATCAAAACCTTAATGTCTAAGATGCCTAACTTAAAGCAAATATTTCTTTAAAAATAGTTCTGATTGGATATTAATGTTATTTTGTCAAAAAAAAAAATAATCTAATGTTTTGTAAACTCTAGCACTGAGCTTCTATAGTTTGTAGGTCTTCCTTGCAATACTGGTACACATTTATTTTGTGCAGTTCATATTTACTCCACCACAATCCTTTTTTAACAATAGAAAGATGTATATACAAGTTCACATCATGGTAATTTTTTTTAAAGAAATATTGAGCAATATTTTTCATTAAATATTGTTACCTAATACTTTGTAGTGGTATTATTTTCTAACCATGATTCTTTCATAATTTTCATAGTTGCTTGAACACATATGGGATTCTGTACTCCAGTTTTTTCATATGCAGTCTTTAAAGGGTTAACAGCTGTAAAGTTTGATGGACTTGTGGCAAGCTTTTGAATCATTCATATCTGAAAGAGAATTAAAAGCCTACAAATGAAATATGTAGTAGCATCTACCATTGCTCTGCTCCTTGCATAGAGTCACCTGTAAGTAGGTTTAGTAGTTTTACAGTATATACTTTCAAGACCTTTGGGAATGCCTCAGTGTTTGGCTTGGTACATAAATGGAAATGTTAAGGATTAAGGGGGAACAAATTTATAAGCTGGATGTTTAGAAAGAATCTTGCTAAAAACAGTGTAAATATTACAGACCATGAGATGTTACCGTAAGTTCAATTTTTTGCCCTTCTTTAGTTTTACAGATTTTGGGTTGGTATTTCGTTCTTGGTTTTTGATTTTGATTTTTTTTTTTTTTTTTGGCATAGATAATGAAGAAAAGTTGTGCTCCTGTTATTGTTTATATGCTTTTGTAATCTTAAAGATATTAATGTCTAGTTGTTCTATATTATAACCACATTTGCGCTCTATGCAAGCCCTTGGAACAGAACATACTCATCTTCATGTAGGACCTATGAAAATTGTCTATTTTTATCTATATATTTAAAGTTTTCTAAAAATGAAAAAAGGTTATTACGAATTTTGTTGTACAAAATCTGTACAAAAATCTGTTTTTACATCATAATGCAAGAATTGGAAATTTTTCTATGGTAGCCTAGTTATTTGAGCCTGGTTTCAATGTGAGAACCACGTTTACTGTTACTGTATTTAATTTTCTTTTCTTTTCAACAATCTGCTAATAAAACTGTCTGAAATCTCCCTGTGACTTTATTTACAGTTCATCTTTATTAAATTTTCTGAAATGTGTAACATCAGAGGAATATTTACTTTCTAATGGGAGGCATCTAAAAACAACATAAGTCAGCTCTTTGTAATGTGAGGAGAACAATGCTGAATGATTTTATTTAACATGCAACTGCTTCTATCTCTAATATGAATTACTGTGGTGAAAAACATCATAAAAGCACACTCTGTGGTTATTGTTTAACAAGCAGATTTTCCATATTTTTTTTTCTTGCCAGCTAAGCAAACTGCCCCCATCTACATGATTTATGTACATTTCTCAGTTTATGAAGCTGTTATTTGTACCTTTTTCCTTTATATTCTGATATTCCCATGATTCTTATTTCACAAAGCTTTGTGCTGAATAATGTAAAGTGGACACACTGGTGGAACAGAACGTATTATTCCCCTAACTACAAAAATGCAGGGGTAATCCAGTTGGTTTTGTCTCAGTTCTCCTTCACTTGATAAAATGTGTTTAGAAACTTTGGCATCCTAACACATTTTTTAGCAAACAGTGAGTATTTAAACATTTAAACAGGCATTTGGAGAAAGAAGTAGATCTGGCTTAGCATATCTTTAAGTGCTATTGTGAGGAGAAAAAAAAAAAAAGGTGATTATTTTTTTGTAACATAAAGATGGTTATTTAAGAACAAATCTGGAAGTAAGATATTTTTCCTTACAGAAAATTCCGAAGTCAGATTGATTTTGAGTATTCTCCCTTATTGCCCTGCCTTACCTGGCCTTGCCTTGCCTTCCCTTCGCTTCATTTCTGAACCATACCTACGTGAATGCTTCTGCTTTTGTTAGGGAGTGGGCTTGTTTGAGAAAGCAGAAGAGATTAGCTTTCTTGGACCAGTCCATTTCATTATCCCTAGATGGCCTTAGGGCTGCAGTTGTGAGGCTGACAGGCTTCCTGGGTTCCAGCAGGTTGTTGTTGTTGGCTAGTTGATTAGGATTTTGTCTAGCTGTATATAGGGCAATCACAATCTCCTTCTGTCTGCATTAAAACGTCATGCATGTCTACCTTAGTAAGCACCCCAGCTATGCCATAGCCGGCTCCCCTGCTATAAGCTCTGGCACAGTTAAAGCAGGGAAAAAGTAAACTCATTAGTCTCTCAGTCCAGCTCGCTCCCAAAACTGAATGATCTCTACAGTATCAGACTGGCAAACTACCTGTGTGTTTGTTAGCAACCCAGGAAATAGTTTCTTCCAGCAGGAAAGAACCTTCCCTCACATAAGTTGCACCCTATCTCCATTAATAAATCATTGCTTTATCTGTTCAGAGTAGCTGGGATTTAACAGGGCTGAGGTTGGATGGGCCAATAGCTAGTCAGATGTTGGTTGGTACTCCTTGTTACAGTAAAACTAAGCTCTGTCAAAGCTGAAGTCAAAAGCAAGAAGAGATTACTCTGAACGTATCTTGCCTGTAACTTACTAGTAGGCTGTGGTCAGATCCTGAAGAAGTTTCGAGTCTGCAGCTAGATGCCTAAAGTTTTAGGAAAACCCTTGAGGAGCTAAGAGATTCAACTGAGAAATATTTTTTTTTTTTTTTGCTATTGAAAGAGATTTAATATTGGGTTTTGCTACGAAAGGTAAACCTCTTCCTTTGTTGAAGGTGCTATAAATTCTTGAAAATTGCTTCATTTGTTATTTGCTTACATGTTATTTGACACACGACTGTGCAATAAACAAAGCCTGAGGCCAAGATTTTCAAGCGTGACTGCTGATTACAGGTAATTCTATTTTTGTTGGCCAAACTTCAGACATTTTCAATGCCTTTCATAAAATAAAATGTCCTAGCTCAAGAGTTCTGTGAAACTTACTTCTTCAGTAGCTGCAGTCTTAACTCATCCACAAGATACTGAGGAATTTATTAGTGTGCCTTTGCTGAGCAGGAACTAACCCTGATCAGTGACAATTGTTCCACCACCATCAGTATCACACCATTTCAAGAAGAAGCCTCTTATGTAAAAAGCTTCATTTTCAAAGAGAGAGAGGCAGCAAAGACTTTCTGAAATTCAAGCTCGTAAAAGGAATCAAGTTAGAAATAAAAAAATCTAGACATCCAGAGTACTGGGAAGTTTTGCAAATGTTCACCCAAAGATCAAATACTATTATGTGATTTGGGAGAATTTGCACATAATCTGTGGATAAACATGATGTCTTCATCCAAGTTAATAGTAACAATGGTTGTCATAGTCCAGTGAATTGGTTATTGGATCATAAAGACAGAGCCAGAATCATCTTGTTGTATACAACAAAAGGACAAGAAGAAACAGATAGGAGTTGCAACAAAGGAAACTCCAATTGGATATAAGGAGGGAAAAATCAAAATGAGAGTGACGAAGCAGTAGAACAGGTTTCCCAGAGAAGTTCTGAGATCTCTGTCTTTGGAGATTTTCAAACCTGAGGTGAGCAAGGCCCTGAGAGACCTGATCTAACTTTGCCCAGTTTAAAGAAGGTTAGCCTAGTTAACCTTCAGAAATCCCTTCCAACCTCAGGTTTTTATGGTTCTAGAACTACAAAACTTATATGCATGATGCCCTTGTAGGTGTAACACTTTCTGTATCCAGTTTAGCAAGGAGCAAAATTTTATCCTATAAATAGCAATTATTAGATTTAGAGTAGAAATAGCTGGGATATGTTTGAGGTTTCCCAGCTTTTTCATCTTCCATATCAGCAGGCCAGAAAAATGAGCTGCACTAACAGCAAGATTTGAAAGAAGATACGGAAAG